AACATTAACAAGAGGCCCACGGGCCTTATAGGTCACCTGAGCATTCTGCAACAACTTTCCAGTTCTTGAATTTGATTCATGTTTAAAGCCAGATGCTATATGGCATTCACAATTTTGAAAGAGGCATCATTGATCATCATAACAATACACTTAGCAGTTGCTGAGCTTGGTTTATTGATTTGAAAATGTCCAATAATAAGTTTATAGGATCTTCATGAACGTTTCATGAACATTTCATGCATAAAATTCATGAAAAATTCAAGGAAAGTCACGAAATATTCATGATCACCTCGCAGGGGTACTGAATACCCATACGCAAGGAAGGGGAACAAAAATGCATTCCAACTAATCAGTAATATTCAGCAATAATCAGTAGTGCCCAATTATGCAAGATTTGGGCCCTTGCTCATCATTACTATATAGGTAGTTCATCTGCTTCATACCAAGAGACAGAGAAAAAAAAATCAAAGATTTAATGTATTTGCACTATATAATCAATAATGCAGCCCCCTCAACACCAGAACCCCTCACCCTGGGACCATAAAATTCACAATTTTTTGTACTCTTGCTCATCATAACTATGCACTTAGTTTCTTTATTTAATACCTAGGAGCAGAGAAGAAGATGTTCAAAGATTTCATGTATTTTTACAATATAATCTATAGAGCCCCGCCCTAACACCAGAACCCCTGACCCTCGGACCATAAAATTCACAATTTTGGTAAAAGCACTCTTGCTCATCTTAACTATGCATTTAGTTAGTTTATTTAATACCTAGGAGCATCGTCGTAAACCACGACAAAATGTACGCTCCTCTCCCATCTGGCCGTGGTTCAACGAGGAGAGAATTCTTCGTAGCTCATTAAAATATTGACCAATGCGAGTAAAGCATAGTCGGATGATGAACTTTATCGCGACCTTTCAATATCAAATCGCAGTATAGGAAATATTTCTTGTATACTGTTGACGTCAGTTGTTGATTTCGATTGCAATGGAAACAAAACTTGCCACTGACTGAATATGACGTCACAATAGAGAGGCGTGAATATTCAAGATTACAACACTTTTTGTGATCAAGCAGCCACGGGTAGGGGAGAGCTATGTAAGCGGACTCCGGACCGTGGCTTGAGACGATGACCTAGGAGCAGAGAATAAGATTTTCAAAGAATTCAAATATTTTTTACAATATAATCTATAGAGCCCCCCCCCCCAACACCAGAACCCTAGACCCTTGGCCATGAATTTCACAATTTTGGTAGAGGACTCAATGCCCGATTTTAACCATGACACAGCCTGTTGAACCACGGCGCACATAAATTTAATCATTACGAGCCGCCATGGTAAAACCCCTTGAAAAGAATCCTAATAAATTTAAAAAATGAACAACAATGTTGAAAAATCCTTTTGGAAATGAACATAATTTGTCACCTGATCAAATCCTGTGAAGCCCAAAGGCTTCTTGGTAGAATTTATCACGTACCAACTAAGTTCATTTCACAGAGAACTTTAAAAATTATGTTTATTTCTTATATTAACATTTGAGACGAATAGATTCCGAGAAAATTCCTTTCTTGCACGAAAGGGTCGCCGTATTGCTATGTTGTGACGTGCAATGACCTAGAAGTTGTTTGTCCTTGAAAGTTCCACCTCGCTCCAATAATTGAATGTTTACATGCATGTTAAGAAGTCCACATCAGGAAATATCTGTTTTTGTGAAAGAACAATAATTGCTTCCTAGAATAATCTTATTTTTTCATGATCAGATCTTAATATATTTGGAGTCAAAAGCGGTGGTTTTTGTTAACATGCCTCCTAAGAATTTCTGGTTAAAAAGGTAAGTGCAGTTTAAGGCTTATTAGAACATTCATATCATTATTCACATCAAAAGAAGATCAATTGTTTATCTGTTGGTATAAAAATGTCCATATGTTTTAATCATCTTATCTTTTTATCGTTAATAACTTAGAAATATTAAGAAACCAGTTGAATATATAGGCAAACTATCGCCGTATATGATTCGGTCGCACTTTGACCTCTGACCCCAAACTGAGATCATACAGACTCTTCAATGGGCTCATCTACGAAAAATGTTAATATTTTTGAATGCAAAAAAGTTAAAACTGATTTGTAGTCAGGGTGTTGTCCTATTAAAATTATGAAAATTAAAGGCATTGGTCTGACAGTTATAGGAATCACCATTTTTTGTCTTTGAGATTGCGCAGAATTGAAAATCTGTACACGAATAATTTAATTTTGCTTCTCAAAGGATCAGGTGATAAAATAATGGTCAAGGCCTTTTTTTTACGATGAATTATACTGAATCTACATGTTATCCTTACCAAAATGAGCCATCTATATCATCCATATTACTTTTTATTGTTGTATTTCATAAAAGTAAACAAACCATAAAAGTAAACAAACAGTGATTATCTGCATGCAAAAATTTCTTGTCAATTCACAGGTGGGGTGGGGGAGGGGGTCATATTATCCTTTCAATGTACTTTGTAAGTGACGATTATGTTAGCATAATTCATGTATTGTGTCATTTCACGTGTACTCTATATACCCTGGCATTTCTTACAAGCCAACTGATAAGTGTTCAAGAAAGAAGATTTTCAACTTAACAACAAGAACAACAACAAGACATCCAGACAGATCTTACACTGCAGCCAAATGGTGACAATAAGATTGACCGCTTTGGAAAATATTCACACCATTACACTGGTGTTAAGGTCTAAATTAAACAGTACAACATGATGATTTCTATGACTTTTTACTGACAAAACAATACAAATACTGGAGTTATTGCTTAGAATGATTAATGATTTGTGCTATAAAAAAATATAGACAAAAAAATGTTTCAATGTAATTCAACATATAAATACATTCTGAAACTCCCTGTACCTTATCATTTGAAGGCTAAAAGTAGTGGATAAGGCATTGACCTGAACAAAGATTATCTCAACTTTATCGTATAAAACTCAGAGGACAGGTAAAATTGTAGACTGCTATGGCGACTGCAAGCTCAGATCATGTTGTAATGTATAGTCTGCATTTTTGTTTACAAATCATATTTCTTTGTTGAATGCAATGCAAAGGCTATAAATCAAGCATCGTGTTATGTTTCTTGCCTTTAAAGAAAGTGTAGAATTTGCCATTGGACTAGAAAATAAATTGTTCACACTAATAACATTTTATGAAATATTTTATAACTACTTGATGTACACTGAAAAAGAAGTCGGAAAAGGGACTGAAAGGTCTTTATTGTATTTGCTCTATATGCCTAAAACGTTTTCGTTCGTGGAGGATTCAGAAAGTTTAGAGCATACAGCGTCTTTAGAAAGGCCAAGCATTATTCTAATCTAGTATAATCCTATTTACATCTATGGTCACAGGTGAGATATTAGCATACGGTATTTTGTTCGGTTTTCTCTATAACAATGTTTTATTTTTAAAGAATAATTAAACAATTTATACATTCCAAGATTTAACACTTATCGCACTTAAATGCAGGAACACACCTACCACTCTTTAATTAGACTACGGATTCTTAATACTTGAACATTTAAATGGGCGGAGACATTCATACTATATACTAAAAAAGGAAACTCTTGAAATGATATTTTATTTTCTCTCAAAAAAAAAATTTATGTTCAAGATTCAAAGTTAGCCACATGTAAATCTCTATTTACAAAACTTTCCATTGACACACTATAAAAAGACGAACCAAACAAGTTTAAGCTGACAGATACCGTTCAACAGAAGGCTATATAGCACGTTTACAGGTCCACTTACCCGTAACGATACATATCCACAATGTTTGTTATGATTTTGAATGTGTCATAAAGAAGTTAATCGCAAGTTTGTTAACAAAAAAAAATAAATAAGAAAGCACAGTGACTATAAAGGGTTGTGCAACAGAGATATTTTCACTCATCCTTTATGCATATAATTTGCATATCTTTTCTCAAGCGCAACTCTGAACTACATGTTGTCAGTTATTTCTTTTGATATTCATGGAATTCAAAGGACCCTAATATTCAATACGCAGCTCCCAATATTTCATACACGCATATTTTTTAGTTGGTATTTTAATTCTGGACAACTCCTAATGTAATAAAGGCATTGGTTAAATATAAAATTCATTTTTTGAGGCTTCCAATAAATGCGAAATTAACGAATAACACTGGGCCACAGAGAAGCCTTGATAGGACTTGTTCTTCAGCATGCGCCTGAAATATTTGTCCCTGAAAAAAATATCAATTTGAGGATATTTATATCAAATCTGCATTAAAATGAATAAAGTCAAGATCCAAGTTTAATCTTGTCTCTGTTCTAGACGATGACTTACTTTTGATAAAACTCGCACTTCAATTTACGACATATTGTCTAGTTTTTAAGGCCATGGAATATTAAGAAGTCGGTTAAAGTATGTTTTAGGGTAGATTTGCAATTTTTTTAAAACTACAATGAATTATAAACTGTACATTATGAAGAAAATCACATTCAAATTTGAGCTTTTTCTGGTCTTTTGCGAAATTATCACATGCACTTTAAGATATCAGTAGACTTTACTCATTTTAAGTTTTAAGTATAAGGGGATTGACCAGAAGAGTGGATTGGAAAAAAAATCATTTATTTCATTTTTCTCCCTCGGATTTTTAAATTCGTAAAAGGTAAAACAATTGGATTTCTTATTCCTGAATCAAAATGCATGTAAACAATATTTCTTTAATTCTTAAGATTGTAAATCTATTAATCTTTTTAAAGCAGAATTTGAGCAACATATCATTTGGATAATAGAAATTATGATGTAGTTTCTGATAATTTTTATTAAATCTTTCAATAACTGAAATGGTATTTTTGTATGAAACATATGGAGATATCGAACAGTATTCAACATCAAAAGTCCCAAAACAGTACAAAACAGGATCATAGCAAACACGGACCTCCAAATCATCAGGGGTGTTATAAAGGAGTGAGCATCCCTTGCCGACCAGTTACACCCGCCGGTTGCTCCTTGTCATGGTCGAGAAATAACGCAAACACCCGTAAAACTATACACCTATTCCATTCTATGTACTTTAAAACAAACACATTTAATCCTGTATTACCTTCTAATTCTTATATGGTGCTTATCAATTCTCACCAGAAAAGAAATAGATTCCAGTACAAAGAAGCAGCAACGAAGAGAATCAAATGCCAAAGATGAAACTGACTTCCAAGGAGAATTCGAAGACCCTCATTGCAGCAGTGATTTCCGGTAAAAAGAAATATAATTAAAAATATTTTTTCATATTTTCACTAAGTTTCCTTCTCATAAGATATAATAGTTACCAAAATGCTTTATATTGATCATTTCTAAACACACATATTAAAAAAAATTATCTTTGATACTGAAATACATATCATTATCTTATTTCTACCCCTCTCTCTCTCTCTCTCTCTCTCTCTCTCTCTCTCTCTTAGGAATATAAATCTTACCTTTCACTCTATAGTATACAACATAAATTTATTTTAAAGGGGGGAATGGCGTTTTTTTTTTTAATTATGATCGATCGTATGTTTATAATTAAAAAAAAATACTGCCAGTCGACATTTATCTTAAAGAATCCAATGTTGAATCGATCACAGCACATTTTTAAAAGGTCAGTGACAAATTGTACTAATATATACAGGTTCTTTTCCAGAGAGTCTTTGTAATCTTTTTGTCCTTGATCTTATCTCATGAAAAAGACACTAAGGTCACATTCAATTTGTTAATGTGATAAGAAATAGAATAAAAGTATAACAGTCTTTACGACAAAGCAGACAACTGATATATAATAATAAAAATACCATGACTAGAGTGTTTCTCTTGCAAAAGATCTTGAAAACGAATAGAATTAGAAAAGGACAGAAAGAGAGAGATAAAGAAACCATTGTCGTATTGACCATTGTTTGTGAATTTCATTGTATATAGAACTTTAAGTTTTAATTTCAGGAATGTGTACAGTTATGACACTGTTAAAGAAAATATACTCGATGCATTTAAATCGATCAAGACATTGGTAAATCAGAAAAGATTTCAAAAATATGTTCAAACAGACTGCTTCGGACTGGATAATATAAATAAAAAGTTTGAATGGAGAGAAAAAGACCTAATGAAGACAGATTGTGCCATCGTGGTTGCTGGTAGGTTTTCATGATGCAGCCATTTGTTTTCATTTCCTTGTTCAGGTAGATCTCTTTGATTTCCTTCGGTTCCTTTTTCCCTATTATTATTTTTTTTACCGATATTGTGCACGCAATTTCTCAGAAACGGCTCTGCCAATTTTCACCAAATTTTCAGATCTGATAGATATTTTCCATAGATTTGTCGGAAGTTTTCTTTGTCGATGACTTTTGATCGTGAGATATGGACGATTTTCTTATTTTTAAGGGTCGGCTTGTCCTGAGATCTCCTCCTAAACAACGAAAGATATATAGTTGAGATTTTCAGTGAAGGTAGAGGAAGGATAGTAGATTTGACATTTTGCATATATTATAGTAGACCTTTGCAAGAAATAAAGGCATCGACGCTCGCCTTGGCTAAAAAAATAGGCTCACAAGCATCTCGTAAATTTGGCACATTTTCTTTTATATCTTTTAACTTATTAATGTTTGTTAAGACATATATAATAAAAGATGAGCATTATAGTAAGACTTTTCAATTGATTTAAAGAAAATTGGGTTATCCCTCACATTAGGAGCTTAGAGGAGGCACAAGACTCTCATCTTTAACTCTTTAATGATCAATATTTGATTGTATTTTACTGATTCAAAGATATTTATCTTAACGACTTGCAACAATATATATTAAAAAATGATCATATCTTACCTACATGTAATAAGGGGCCACAGGGGACTAGAATGCTTAATCTTTAACGCTTCATATCTCAAAAAGTGTGAATATTTTGAGAAGAAATATTGAACAAAAGATGGTCAAAATAATGTACTCAACAATATGCGTACTTTTAATTTTTTTCATCTTTCATTTTTTCCGTCGATACTTCCGTTGTATACCGTAAGTAGTTAAAACATAGCATTTTTTCCATTTTCTAACGAATGGAACTGTTAATTATAGAGATTTAAAGACGGTGTTGCATCTTAATGTTTCCACCGGAAGTACGGTTCGTTCAAACCGGAAGTTGTCGAAAAATGAGTATTTTCCATCGAAACTTTCAGGGATGATTACTGCATCCTTGATATAGAGTTGAAAGTCGTTTTGAGCACATGCGGTCGCACCAGAAATGAATGAGAACAACTGGAAGTTGATTAAAATTGATAGATCCTTCATTTTGTGTGCTTCTAAACACATTTTGAAGAATTCTTGTGCCATTTTGAAATTTTCTATCCTATCAATTGAATTATTTCCACACAGGTCTTATTTCATCAGATATCGGGCAGATGACCTACTCGATGATCACAACGAGATCGCATCTTGTTTTTATTATCATTGTCAAAATGTTTTGATTGTTAAGTTGATTGCTATGTGCTTATATTTCAAGGTGAAACAAGTTCTGGGAAATCAAGTGTAATAAACTTGATCATCGGCAAGGAAATTTTGCCCATTGACATCATGGCAACTACAACCAGAGTTTGTAGAATTAAGTATTCTGACAGAATGCGAGTTTCCACGCTGAATAAAATGGGAGAGGAGTTATCCAACTCAGAGTTTGATGATGAAGAAAAACTTATTGAGATGATGGAAGAATTAGCTACGACGGATGACCATCAAATAGAGTATATAGATGTCTGGTTTCCACTACCCATATTGAAAGTATACCAAACTTATAGATATAATGTTTTGAAAAGCAATGTTCCCGTTTAATAGCCTGTGTTTCAATAAATAAAAATGTAATTTGGCGTGATCTGTAATTCCGATAATTTGCAAATTCAGATATTTTATTTTAAAAGGGTAAATAAAACATTTTATGGCCATACCTATAAAAATGTTTACAATCACAGAAGTTAAAATTGTAGAAAATTTCAATTTAAAAAAGAAAGGTGCAACATTACAACTTTGAGAACATGGCATGCATATGGTATTCAAAAACTTTAAAAATGTATACTTAAGAAACAGAATGTTTATGAATTATATTTACAAGAGTGGATCAAAAAGTCTGTGCCCAATGTCAATCTTTGTTTTATTACTCTCGGATACTTTTAAATACATGTAAGCACAATATGAAATGTGAAAATATTTGGGGTTTCTTACGTGTAAATATTCATTCCATCAGATTATCAATTTTCTTCATTTTAAAAATCAATACGTTTTGCATCCGCGGAGCACCCTTAATGGCAATTGAACGTCGAAAAATAGCATCAGAAACTTCTAGAAGAATAAGAAAAAAATATAATGCAGAACCAACTCATCTACTCATTAAATCATTTTTCTATTATTGATATTTATCTTTTTAACAATTGTTCTCGTTGTATAATTTCGAACTCTGTCAATGTTTTCATTGCAATTATTAATTTACTCCGCTTTTAATAGATAGTCCACTATGAAGCGCCTATGTCTTTCCTTGACGTTTCAATCTAAACAAATGTTCAGATTTTTACAATTAAACCGCTTCTTTAAAGGATTGTCCTCATTTGATACAGAGATTTTGTCATTCAACTCCTGCCTGTACTATTTGTACACATATACTCACCGTCAATGAAAACGCAACACTCTAATTTTAGGATGAAAAGTATATACGAGTTATAACTATGTACCAAAAAAGTTAGGACATCTTTTACTTTGCTAAATCAGTTATTTAACGGTTGAATGAATTTCTTTCCTCTACCGGAAGTTGCTTTTTAGCCCTCTTTACAGAAATGAATTTTTTGCATTTTTAATAAAAATTTTAAAAATATTTTGGGTTTTCAAGGTTTTGTAGCTGTTTATCATAAGTAATGTACTGAAATGCCGGGAAAAAATCCTTCTTTCTTTACCGGATGTAATGCCTATATTTCCTCAAAAGGACTGATTTTCATGGCTAATGCTGGAGATTCTCAAAATTTAGAAAAAAAGAGCTGCAGATGCAAATATACACTATTTAACCACTCATCAGAGAAAATTCGACCGCAGTATCTGAACAACAGGCAATTAAAAATCCCTAAGAACATTTATTTCGCTCTTATCAAGACATTGATAAACCTAATGCATGGTAGAAATCGGACTGCGTACGTTTATGTTGTACATGGCGGACTAGCATGTTTCATTAAATTGTCGGAAGGGGGTGGTGTTTTATTTAAATGTTATCTGTTCAGAGGGCTAAAAAATCAACTTTCGGTAATGGAATGAAAACCATTCAACCATTAAATAACTGATTTGTCAAAGTAAAAGATGGCCTAACTTGTTTGGTACATAGTTTTATCCCGTATATAAGTTTTCACCCTAAAAGTAGAGTGTTGCGTTTTCATTGACGGGGAGTATATGTACAGCTCGCCTGTGACATATTTTTTTTTATGATTCTTTCAACGTTTCAGGGTTGAATCAGGATTTGTTTCCATAGTATGATACAATATTACCTTCTAAGACGTCATAGTTTCTGTCGTGTTCAATGAAGACTAACTATATTCTAAAGTTGATTTCTAAAGTTGATTTCTTTTCAACGAAACAAAATATTAAGCCATATTTTGGACTACAAATCGATGTAACACATCTTTAGTTGATTTTTGTGGAATTTAGGCGTTTTTGCTCCATATTACAGAGAATATGACTACAGAAAACATTCAATGTATTTCTTTTTTTAGGGTAACATAATAATAGTTGATACACCAGGAAAGGGCGATGCAGAACAAAATGATGTGGCAAAGAAGATGATGGAGTATATACCAAATGCATTGGCTTTTATTTTCGTTGTAAACGTTGCTAGTGCAGGTGGATTCCAGGATGATAGGGTACACATATTGTATTAGGTTCAATATCTATCACATCTAATGCATTTATGTTAATTTGTTCACAGTATCTAGAAAAGATGAAGTAGCGCAATTGATTTTTAAAGCCTATCCAACAATACTAAGTGCATTGAAATAAGCATGTGCATGTTAACGATAATGATATGATATCAATGGATTTTATATTGTAGCTACTACATATAATTAAACGTATAAGAGAATCGATGAATCAGATGTACTGTTTCGATCCAGAAGATGCAATTTTCCTCCTCAACAAATGGGATGCAGTTGTCGATAAGAGAAGAACACGCAGAAGAGACACATACATGGAGTTGAAAGATAAAGTCCATACGATATGGAAAGAAGCAAAAGACAGAAATATTCTTAAATTTGCCTCAGCTAAGGTATATATATTGATATTTTAATTTATTTTTGAATATTTTTGATACTTTCTGGGATTAAGGTAAAAAGAACAAATTGTTTTTGTTTATATATTCGACGAAATTGGGATTACTGAAAACAAATATTCAATTATTAATTATAAGTGACGATCTACATTCTTGTATAAAGGTGCAGGAACAAGAGGTTTTCAAAACCGAATTTGACAAGTTTCACGAACTTTTAAAAGAAGTTATCAGCAAAAATGAATTTAAAAGAGTTAAAGTTCACCTTGGGTAAGTGAATATTATAAATTTTAACTCAGTTAAATGTAAACTTTAAAACAGATGGCTATTATAGATAATTTCTTTCAAAAAACACTATAGAGTGAGTTCGCCATGCATTGGACACATACATTGCTTCAGACAACTTTAGACAATAAACTTTTTCTCAAGAATGCAGTGTATTTATTTGAATTTGTCTTAAAGATAATTATACCAATTGTTATTATCATATTTTTATTAAACTACTATTAATGGCCTTGAAGTTACGTAATATTTTACATCATCAAAGGGGAATAACCAGAGATTTATGATGTCACTTTTAGAGTTATGGTTCTTTGACTTTGACTTTAATGAAACGAGTCAGACTTTGGTGAATTTTCTAAAAAAAATTGCAAATTTACATAAAGGTTCACTTATTGACTTATTTTATTACAAATAATTACTAGAGGGAAAATTACGTCATGATTATTAGATACGTGGTTACCAATACTCAAAGTGATAAATATTGAATTTGCAACCTAAACTGAGTGATTTTGATTTTTCAGAAAATCTCAGGGCCAAATAAGGCCTAAAGTGACTCTTGCTATTTAAAGAAATTTCTCTTCAATGTTTGCATAAGTCTCTTTAAGAGCTAGCGTTTATTAATATGTTCATTTCTCCGTACATCGGACATAAATTAATCATATATCTGACACTTTCTGATGCGAAGGTAATCACTAAAGTTTTCATAAAGAACCCAACTGACAGCTTTTTTTCAGAAATAGGAAATAAAAACTCTAAATTTTCAGTCAAAATACACGTTATCGATAAATGACGTCTAAAATCTGACTTATTTTAACCAGAGCAGTAAAATAAATAAAATAAATAAAAATTGCTTAATCATGTGCTTTATGTCAACGAGATGAAAGAAATGTATCAAAAGTGATCCTCTTTCTTCAATATTTGATTTCAGTCACTTTGAAGCATAGGTTAAGAATAAAATATTTTCGTAGACATGTATTATATTTATATTCCTTTTATAGGCATATTATATCCATCTAAGCTTCTGAGAACTCAACATTTACAATTAAAAAAATTAAATTCCTTCACTTAATATTACAGTTTTATAGAATCATTTCTGAACGAATGTGACATAAGTCTTTTGAGCAAGATAAGATTTGCAAATCAAAGTAAAGCAAAGACATGGTGTGAACTTGATCAAATTGATAGAGAACTGCAATTCCTTAAGGATAAAAGACAGGAGGTAATATTTGTTACTTATTAAATAAGAAATTATAAAATCTTTAAACATGTCATCTAGCTTATTTTTCGAAATTCTTCAGATAAATATTAAAAAATTAAAGTATTTTTCTTAAAGTAAATGGATCTCTGTAATTCTTTCTTTATTTGTTTGTATATGTGGTTATTCTCTAAATTTTTCTATAAATTTAGAAATCTTTTCATACGATTTGTTTCTAACAATCGTGTTTCCTATTTATTTATTTTTTTTAAATGTTACATTGCGTTACAGGCATCTTCCAATCTTCACAAAAGTATCACAAAGTTCTTTGAGGAAACGGCCGAAGATCTTCATCAGTATATACACAGCTCAGAGTTTTATGCTATTGTTTTCCCAGGAATAGATAAATACATGCGGTTTAATATGGGGCGAGAACTGGATACTCGCATAGAAAAGGCTACTCTTTCATGGCAACAACAAAACATTGGAAAATTGTTCAAAAAGAAGATATTTGAAAAACTTACAGATAATTTTTGCAATCTTCACAAACGTTTTCACCGGCTTAAAGACAGAATAAGAGGATTTACATCTCCCTTTAACATTGATGAGAAGTTTGGTCCGGTCCTTCTATCCTTAGTTGCTCCGAATGGTACAGCCTTCCTTGGAAATCTGGCAATGCTTTATATGTCCGTCGATCCTAACGTTGCTGCTGCTGTTACTGTGACTGGGGTTATTGGTAGCATAGTACTCACAGGATTGGTTGCGATGGATGTACATGATGCGGCTGAAAACGTTGCAAAAAATGCCTACTATGCTAGAATAAACAAAATAACGAAGGAAAAAATAAAGGTCAAACTTCGTACAACATATGCAGAACAATTTGTACGCGTAGTCAGGGAATACCTTGATGGGGATCTAAAAAATGAAATTGATGTTCTGGAGGAGACTATGAAGTCAACTAGAAGTAAAATAGATTCGTTCAGAACGAAAGTGGAAGTGCTTCTTTCTATAAGTTCCGAATTTTCAAAGATTCGACAGCGTTTAGAAGATTTAACTGAAGTTGAAATCAAGCTTGACTGAACAGTAATCCAAAGTCTCAAAGAAATGTTAATAAAATTCATACATTACAATGTGTGTTTAATTTGATGCTGATTAAATACAAAGTTATAAATTATTATATTTTGCTTTATGTTTTTACTAATTTAATATAATTTTTTGCTTGGTTTTCTTTTGATATGCAGAATAGGAAACATTTACCTTTAAATATCATCGATTTTGACTGAACGCTGAGTATGCCCGAAAAAAAAAATGAACGTGATGATTCAATATCGAACACCCTGTTACACACATTCAATTTGTTTAACGACAATATTCAAGCCTAGCAATATCATTTATGTAAAATGTGTCCATTTTTAAGTTAAAAACGTTAAACTTGCGTGAAGGAAGCCTAGAGATATAGCGTTCACTTCGTGATTGGGAGGCCCAAGTTTCATTCATTGATTGAGCCACATTGCTCAATAACTCTTTGTGTCGAGTATAGGTCTAAATTGGAACCTTTTCACCGGCATACCGTGACTTCTCAATTAGAGTGAAAAATCCTCGAGAGGAATGTTAAACAACATACAATCAATCAATCAAACAGAAACGCGATTGATAAGATGATAACATTTTCATCTTAATCGTATGTTCGCTAGTTTTATTCAAGGAATAAATAACAAGTTTAAAAAATTCAATGGGAATTGAAGTGGGTCGGTCACGTTATCCAATCCTGTAAAGGCCGAAGGCCTTCTCAGAAGATTTGATCACGTAATGACCCACTTCAATTCCTATTGAAGTTTATAAACTTGTTATTTATTACTTATACATTTGAGTCAGACAACCCGCAAGTTTCGAGATATCTCCCTTGGTGCGCTCTTTCGTTGAGGAGGGGAGTTTGGTTGCAGCGTAAACAGACAGGTGGGACAGATATTTATTATTGGATATATCGCATCATCGATATACTGGTTTATCGTAACTATATAATTGTAAGGATGCACTGTTCAACTCGAGAACAACCGAATTAAAGTAAAGGTGTCATTTTATTAATCAAAAACAGTGGCGTAGCATCGATTTTTAAAGTGGGGGGACAGCCAGAGAAAAAAAAAATTACTTACCTGAAAAAGTTGACAAGCAAAGAAAAAAAGGAAAAAGTTGTCCAAATTCGAAAATCCTATTTCGTGGGTGGGCGGGGGGGGGGGGGGGGTAAACTTTGACTCAGTTACGACTACTTTTAGTACCAATTCTAATACTAGATTTTTGGTTAATTACTAAAAGTCTAAAAGTGGGGGTGGTGGGGCAACCAGGCTTCCAATTAACATTTCCTATAGTATAAGTAATGTTGGGAAAAAAAGTGGGGGGAGCCAGTCCCCCCCCTCCATGCCCCCCCTGTTGCTACGCCCCTGAAAAAGAATCAGAACAAAAAAGAAAATTCAGTTTATGTTAGACTTTTCAGACGAGGGAATATATATATGGACCTATAATAAATACGGTAAACATGAATCTGATCATTACCTGTCGGCAATCTAAATGACACATTAATTTTTTACCTTAATATAACTTCAAAAAACTCACTTAATGTTTGTACAATCAAAAAAATCTTTTACTTTTATGAAGACCACGACGTTTATTTCGTTTTCAAGTACCCAATAATTGAGGGTAAATTTATAAATATACACAGTTGAGCTTGATAAAATCATAAAATACATCACTGATTAACATCCTTATCTTTCTATAAAATTAAATAAATTTTAAAAGTCATAGACATCGTTTATTTATTTATGCACGTTTATATACATAAGCAAACTGTCCCACCTCCATGCAGAAACGGACACTTTTTGCGCCCATATCGCAGGAGAGTTACAATCTCGAAACTGGCTTATTGAATATTTTCGAATTTAAATTATTGCACTAACCGTCCGTCGTAGATTTTGAAAAATGACGCAAGGTGTAAATCGGCTTGCATATGGCGGTCACGCTTCGAATGCTTAGGCTAAGGAATCTGTTTTGAAGGAATATTTTGTGAAAGTCTACTTGTGATCAGTAATAGTGAATAGATTGTTGTCTGGGAATATTTTTATTCGTGAAAAATGATAATCGATGCTGAAAAGACACAAGAAACACGTCCGAAGTTTGATGATAAAAAGTAAAAAGTTGGAGGAATTTCGGTCGCTGGAAAGGGATGGATGGATCCGATGGATTGAGACACTTGTCCGAGCCAGTTAATTTGCAATTTGATCAAAAACATTCTACGGTCTCAGTAATTAAAGGCATACTTATCGTAAAAAACTGATAAACACGGGGACACTTGCGACAGCTTTTCATTGAACTACGAAAACGCCGAGGTGTTTGGCAGCTGTTCATGGTATGATTGCGATGATATTTTTCAACAGATTAACACATTTATCGTGAGTAAAATTTAAAGATAAAATAAAAGTTTATCATTGAAATTTAATCAAAGGTCTACCCCCAAAAATAAGGATGAACGTTAGAGACTGTGCAGCTGATAAAAGTGAAGAAAAATGTAAACAAACGCTAGGCTCTTAGTTTTCTCTATGTACACAGGTTGAATCGATAGCCAAAAAACTGAATGAAAAACTTGTTTATATTTAAAGCATTGTCGGATGATGAACTTTATCGCTACCTTTCAATATCCAATCGGAGTATAGGATATATTTCTTATATATTGTTGACGTCAGTTGTTGATTTCGATTGCGATGGTAACAAAACTTGCCACTGACAGAATATGACGTCATAATAAAGAGGCGTAAATATTCAAGATTACGACAGTTTTTGTGATCAAGGAGCCACGGGTAGGAGAGAGCTATATATGCGGACTCCGGACCGTGGATCTCATGTACTTTCCATGATTATCGTCCCTCGAAGAGGGACTTGGTCTTTCATTCTGCTAACTTAGGATTTACTTTGCCTGGTTATTCTATGAAAAACGTTGAAATATGTAAAGTTATAATGGAGCAAAGACAGACTGACGTAGGTATAAACGGATTAAAGAAATGTAATATTTTTTTAAACGTCATCAATGCGCATTGATGAAAACGTTTTTCGTTCAATTTTTTATTCGATACGTCGATTAAAAGAAACTCTTAAACATTCATTTCTTATCATTTAAATGTGATTTTGAATTAATAAAATGAAGCTTTCTTTCACTTTACTATGAAAGAACTATATGCGGTATATTGCATATATTTGCCCCACAAAAGTCAAATTTTAAAAACTTCCTGAAATGTGCTGAATTCAATAAATTGTATGAGAAATATAAATTAACAGAAAATATTATAGTGTCAAAGCAGTGTATTCATAATTTTTGTTTTTATGACGTCACAAACTAGTCGGATTTTTTATCCTTTGTCAGAAAGAGGACAAAATGGACAAAATTCCAACAATTTTAGCTTTAAAATTTATAAAGCGCAAGTTTGTTCAGGAACAATATTGACATATTTCATTGATATTATCATTCTACACATTTTATCAAAATATTGATCCTGAACACATTTGCGCTCGGTGACTTCAAAATATCGACGAAATTTGTACATTTTTGTGTAAAATTCATAAAAAACCTGAAATTTACGTCATGTTTGTGACGTCTTTACGTACATAAGGCGTCATTACATATGAAAATATTCAGTGCTTTGCAGTCAGCATATACTCCCCTGTTTAAGAACTTAATTAAATATATCTCGATCAAAGTTTGATTTGGGGGGCAAATATTGGTTTTTACCGAATAAAGTTTTTTACGCATCAAAAACAGTCCGTATGAATATATCAAAACAATGTAAGATCTCATTCTCTATCCAGAGTTGTCATTCCCGCTATGCTCCCACATTCTCTTTCAAGAGTTGTCATTCCTGCTACCCTCCCAAATACAGTCTAGCCGGAACGACGAACTCTGGATGGAGAATGTGTTAGATCTATAACGTTGGAAATATTCAAAATGGCGAACGTATAGCCCTAACAAAAATACAAGTTCTCAAATATCGTCGTGTCATTACCAACATTCACAGACAATAATTAACAGTTCTGTAACATGTGTAACACAAAAAAAACTCATATGTTGTGTAATAATATTTTGCTTTATCCCAATGCGTATATTTTCCATTTTGAGTTATGTGAAAGACGTTCATTTTACAGAAGTATGCTGTTTTCTTTCATTCTTTCCCGTAACTGTATTGTTGTCATGCAAACAATTTGGTTTGTTTAACAAAGAAACGAAAGTAGGAAATGAGCAATGAACGTAACGGACAGGTTTCGAAATTTAGGAAAATAACTATTTAAGTAATACTATTTAATTATTCCTTCAAAAGTAACCTGGAAGAGGAAATATACAACTAAAGACAGCCAAAGTAGTTTCGGCTGCTAAGTGCAAGCGGATTCTAGATTTTATTGATGCAGTTATCAGAAAAAAAATATATCCAATCAGAAAGAAGTAGTTTATAAAAATTAAATGATATTCAGATCACTAGAGCTTTTAGATTAGGTGAGCAAATATTTTTATTATACCTCTGTTTATTTTTTCTATATAAAAATAAGACGAATAAACATGCTATTTTTTCTAAACAGTCTCAACCGTGAAATAGTTTTTGTGCTATTTGCCCATGGTGAATAGTCCTCAAACTATTCAACGGCAGCATTCGATTTCCCTCGCTTTTCATCTCTGAAAACTTCTGATTTTACATGGATTGTGACGTATATATTATGACGTACCAAAAGTAAAGTCAGCATCGGTATAATAAAACACCTATTTACTGACTATTCGGACAATAGCAAGTTCATCGTCCCCCTCGACAGCAAACTATTTCCCTTGGCTGCGCCTCGGGAAATAGTTTGCTGTCTTGGGGGACGATAAACTTGCTATTGTCCTCATAGCCAGTAAATAGGTGCATAATATCTCCCAACCAATTATGTCGGTAGAAAAATAAATCTACTATGCCCCAAACAAGTCGCTTGAATTCCATACACTGTCTGGTCGGTAGAATAAAAATTTCAAACATTCGGACAAAACCTTACTCTGTCTTTTGAATTATATTCATAT